GTTTTCATGAACACACACACTTCACATGGGTAAGTCTAGAGCTCAAGTAAAGACTTTCTTGTCCTCTTGAGACTTGGCACCATTAAAGATATACATGCCTAACCTTGCCTTCTTTATAAAATGGACAGGTGCTTTAGGGTTCTGGTAGCTACGGTTCTTTCAGTAAACTCTCTCAGTACTAACAATACTTTATCTTCAAACAGCATGGAGTGAATTTTGAAGTGTTTTATTCCGATGATGTCCCTTCAAAGATATCCAGTTATTAAGTTTCTCTCAGGTCATTTTCAGACTCAAGTCCATCACCCGTAGATGGAAGTGAGGACAGCACAGTTGGAAAGAGGTCTAAAGCTGTTATTGTAGACAAACAGCTAGTTATAAGTGCCAGTAAGGGAGAGCTTTTCCATTCATCTTTCCCTGCATACCCTGGTTTGTCACCACAGCACTCATGTCCCTAATCTGATTAGCTAGAGGGGTGTCCAGAAATCCCTTAGCTACAATAGTCACTTGCAAAATCCAAATACATCAAAACAATGATTAATAAAATATATCTATAAGCGTGTTTATAGTCACAGGGGGTTAAGAGGGAAATGAAACAGCAGCTATTGCAAGCTCCTTTCCCCCGGAATTCATAATTTATTTACCTTGTCTGTCCTGCTCCCGGTGTGGCTGCAATCAATTGCATTCAGTGTCAGCTCCTCGTACAACAGTCTACTGTGCCTGCATTTCTAGCTCTACAAGCTAAAAGGTCTACAAATACTTTTTTTAAAATGTCACCATGTACATTTTAGTTATCCAGGTTAAATCTAATTGCTAGTAGAAAATGAACTGGGGGCCTAACCCCACCCTCCACTGAAAGTATATTTAAATAGAAGTGTATTAGTCAGGGTAGGCTAACTGGTGAAAGAACACCAAAACCTCAATGACTTCACATAACGAACATTTATTTCTCATTTATGCCAAGTCCAGTGTGGATACCCCAATCTGGCAGCCCTCCTCGGTGGCACTCCTATAAGTTACAAACTCAAGGATTCTGTTTCCTTCCAACTTCTGGTGCCTGCATCTGCAACATGCAACATGGCCCTCCAGAATTTCCAAGAACTAACAGTGAGAGAGTACTGGGCATGACCTATCAGACACTAATGAACTTCTGGGCATGATCTATCAGATACTTATGAATTTCTGAGCATTATCGATCAGACACTTACAAACTTCTTCCAAAATTGCACAAATGATTTAGGCTCACATTCCATTAACCAGAAAGAGCCACATGATCTCAAGTTAGACACAAGAGCCTTGGGAAAGAAATGTAAACCCCAGCGAATGGCGCTTTCTAAGTCTACATCAGGGACGGAGAACCAGGCTGGTCATCAGCTAGCTACTCTGGCCTGTTGACCAAAGCAGACATATATAAAAAAATCCACATGATCTCCTACCAAATGTCAACTCGTACTGATACTAAAGCAGATATCGATGCACAGCTCCTAAGTGAGGGATCCCAGTGAGACGGCACAAGGTACAAGCTTCAACATAGGAGCTTGGGAAATAGACCTAGATTCAAATCCTAGCCCATCACTTCGCAGCGGTGTGACCTTGTGCAGATAACTTAACTCTGTCTGTGTCTCATCAGGACAATGGAGACAGCAGCAATATTTTATTTGTAGGGTTGTTATGAGGACAATGAACATAAAGACCATGTGAATTAGAACAAAGAGAAGCTTGCTATAGCAAGGAGTTGATAGACATCATCCCTTATATTTAGCAGAGATGCAAAGATAGGCAGGGAGTGAGAGAGGTTTAGAAGGAGAAAAAGAGAAGGCTTCAAGTAGATTTGGCTGGAGGTTGCTGGCATGGGGAGGCTGGAGGTGAACTAACCAGAAGAAGATATTTACTGATTCGTTTGAGAAGCACATTTGACTGTCTCTGGGCGATCTTGAATTGAAAGTGGGGGCAAAAACAGGACATCTGGCAGTCACTGACCAAGTCCTGACTTTAGAGAGCCAACTGCCTAGGAGGCTGTGGGTCACGATTCCATCGTTATATGTGGTCTGGCCACTGTCCCTTTGCATGTTCAATCTCTTGTCAGCTATTATTCTTCCAAAGCAGACAGGAGGCCTACTCTTCTTTCACACTAACAGAGATAATCTGCCCGGGTCTATATGCTTCCAGAAAAATCAGATTTTTTATGTGAGAACCCTGGGATAAAGGGTGAGGAAAATATGGGGAAAAAACTAAAAAAAATATGAATAAAGAACTAAGGTATAAAGGGTGAGGAAAATATGGGAAAACAGCTTTATGTTCTCCACTCTCTGGCAAAGCCAGGTCTACAGTTCCACTGCCAGTGCACAGCAAACCTCTCTGTAGCCAGGTGAAGCCATTATTACAGGGCGGTCATGTGCTCCACAGAGCCATGAATGGATGGGGTTTCCGGGAGGCTGGAGAGCCGAGGGCAAGGGGACACAGTTCAGAAAGGCCTTCACACTGACTGCCTTTCTCCCCCAGTGAGGATGGAACCCTCTGACAGGAACTTACAATAACCAGCAGAGCCTAGAGTTTGCAGGTATCCCCCTAAAATAGTGGGGCAGGGAGATTTTATGGATGGTGTAAATTCTTTCTGAATGGAAATGAAAGACATTATAGGAAGTAACTCTGACCCAGCACAAAATTAAGCTTCTTGGCTTCTGCAAGACCTTACCTGAGGTGGACAGTGTTACTGGATGCGGCTTACCCCTCCCCCGCGGCCCACGAGAGATTCCTGGGAGGCAGGGAAGCTGCTGGAAGATAGCCTGCAGCTACTCAGACTCTAGGGACTGGGGATTTTTTATCATTAATACAGAGACCTGCAACTATGCAAGTGCTCTGGTCTGACCACAGGTGGTGCCCAGGCTCAGTCACAAACCTTAAAAACGGCATGAAGTGCATTTAAAGCCAGCCAGCAGGACATGAGGCAGATGCAAACGGATGTCTTAGAGGTATAAAGAGTTGAAAAATGAGTTGAAGAAAGGAGCTGGAAAAGCTAACTTCATGCTAATACCACCGTCCAAAAACTGAGTGGGTCTCTCTGGGGTTGAGAGGAGGGAAGGGAGTCAGTTACTTCTCAGACCCTGGAAACACACCTAACAGATACTATTTTTGAAATGTTAATTGACACCCTTCCCCAATCCCCAAGAGTTTCCTTTTCCCTTTTAACCGTTTCTTCTATGTTGCCTTCCTCGCCAAGATGCCTGTGCTCACTGCCTCAGGTCAGGGAAAGGAGGAACAGAGAGAAAAATGGAGCCCTTTCTTACATTTGCATTCCAAAAGCCCAGAATCTTCAGGGAAAGAGAGGGGGTAAAACACAAACAAACAAATAATCACCCACCACACTAGACAACAAAGCCCTCTTCTAAGGGAAAAGCTCATGACAGACACAGACATCTGTGGACAGTTGTGCATCCCTTACCTGCAGGCAAGAACCAAGTCTGCCTTTGCAGATGGTCCCAGTTGCCCTGGAACAACGTGAACACGCTGTGTCTCAGGGTGCCATGTGCTGCCCGCTTCAGGAACCCCAACAGCAACACTCGTGGGCACAGTGCAGCCCAGTCAGAGAAGAGCTCACTCAGACCCCACTTTGCTCAGCCCAAGAGAAAACTCTCTCCCACTACAAACTTATGAGGTCCTGGACGTTGTAAGCTCCAGGGATTAAAGGGTGGAGAGTAGAACCCTAAACACCCAGCAAGACTGTTGGTGCTGAAAGAAAAGGTTATACTTTGCCTCCCTCTGACCCAAGAGAATAGAAAACACTTGGTGATTACACACAGGCTTGAACAATCACTTGGCACAGAGGTATGCAGAAAGCATCTCATTAGGGGTCTTTATCAGGGTTCTCTAGAGAAACAGAATCAGTACAGCATGAGAGACAGAGAACATGTAAGTGTATGTGCATGTGTCTGTAATATAAGGATTTATTATAAAGAACTGGTTCACACTATTACGGAGACTGACAAGTCCCAACATTTGCAGGGTTGGTATATAGTTCCTGCCCAAAGGTTAGCAGCCTATCTTCTGAAACATTAATATCATTCAGAAATACCCTCACAGATACACCCAGAGTAATGTCTGACAATTATCTTGGCACCCGCAGTCACCAAGTCAAGTAGACACATATCACCAACACAAGATCTCCATGATGTGACATTTAAGGCCATTTCTAAAACTTAGATCCTAGGGGCGTTTCATCAAGGCATCGGGAGCTTAAGAAGAAAAGGCAGGGATGGGATTCGTTAAAGTTTATGCCCAATCTTTTTTTTTTTAAGATTTTATTCATTTATTTGACAGACAGAGGATCACAAGAAGGCAGAGAATTGGGGGATAGGGAGCAGGCTCCCCGCTGAGCAGGGAGACCAATGCAGGGCTCGATCCCAGAACCCTGAGATCATGACCCAAGCCAAAGGCGGAGGCCCAACCCATTGAGCCACCCAGGTGCCCTGGCTTAGGCTCAGTCTTGCTGGGGGTTGAAGTTTCTTGCAAGGAATGTTTCAGTGTAGCCAGTCTGTGTCTGGGTCCAGTGTAGCACCCAGGCATGGCACAGTTTTATTGTTAAATTATCATCCACCGTACAGCATAAAACAAGCTTTTTAGAGACAAGAACGGCAAAACTTTTCAAGGCTATACAAATCGTGCTTCTTCCATATTTTCTGCTATGCCAATAAGGGTTTGGTCCTAGTTAAGTCAGTACAATGTAGTGATTAAAATGTGTTCCAGACACAAAGGCCCAAAGGCCCAGGTTCAAACCCAGGCTCTGCTTAGACCTACACAATGACCTTTGGTTATTTAATTCTTTGAACCTCCATTCTCACATCTGTAAATGTGGGGATGACACGGCTTATCCTCATTAAATCACGGGATGCCAGTAAATGACTTAGCTCAAATACTTAATCTACATAGTAAGTAAGTGATTATTATAACTTAAAGTTCTTTGAAATGTGCTAGTATCACCCTGAAGTCTTTTGAAAAATACTTACTTCACTCTTCCTTTCTCTTTCTCTTCCACTCCACACCTTAGTCACAACAAAACTACCACTGATTTTTGAGGTTAACAGAGACACTGCTGGTAGAATACTGAGTGATAATTTCCTCAGAAACCCAGGAACTCCATTCAAGGGCAGGACTTTGACTTGAGGCCAAAGAGTTGGAAACCAGAAAACAAAGATAAATAATCCGATTTCCTCCTTCAAATTAAAGCTTTGTGTGCAGGCATGTGCACCAGAAAATACCGACTTAATCAGAAGCATTCAATTAAGATTAGAAGAAGTAAAATACAGCATCAGAACTACGGGACGCACAGTAATCAAGTAGTTATTTCCAAAAAACCCAACCTCATGACAATGCTCAATATTGCTGATGTGTGGATATAAGCAATTCCAGAAGGAAAGATAATTACACTATTCGACAGTAATGCAAATTTTCTCTCCCTATGTCACTTTATCTCCAGCTGTGAGGCCAGAATTTTCCATAGAGAGGACACTCAGGAAGATTCTGCCTTGCCTACTACTACACTTGATCTTAGTCAAAAGGCCAAAAAGAGATAACTATTTCTAAAGATATACTTCTTAATAAATTTTTATATGCAAATTTCGAGTTACATAAAGAAAGTAGGGTTAGCTACAGTTTGCTAAAATTACATTGTCTTAAACCTATACTGGCTTCAAGCAAGGGCTTCAAGAGCCAAATAATTTTGAAAGGGTAAAATAGCAACTAGTTTCTTTAGAGAGAGTTTGTGGATATAATAAATGGAGGAAGATGCTATTTGACTAAATATAATGACAGATTCCATATGCTGTGTCAATGTGGATTCCACAAAGAAATAACACCTTTTGTGCACAAGGAGTTTAAAAGGAGTTCAAAATACTGTGTGAAAGAAGTTACCCAAAAAATTGCATATACTATATGCTCCAATTTACACAAAATTCTAGAAAATGCAAATCAGTAATCTCTAATGACAAAAAGCAAATCAGAGAGGTCTCCTGGCAAGGGAATAAAGGGCACCATGGGCACTAAGCACCATAACAAATGGGCACTAGAAAACTTCTGGAGGTGATGGAAATGTTTTGTTTTCTAGATGTGGTGATGGTTTCACAGGCGTGTATGTTATGCCTAATCTAACTCCTACACTTCAAACACATGCAGGTTATTGTTCTCTAGCTAAGCATAAAGACCAAAAAAACAGAGAATTATGATAGGAGCAGGCACCGTAGCAAGTAGATGCTCCAAAAACGTTGAATATATAGGACCCTCCTGGGCAGAGTCTGCCTACTTCTACTGGTTCTGTGTTCTGTGACTGTTGTATGTGTCCCACATACTGGTATATAAATGTGTATTCTCTGTATGTTGTAATTAAGGGATTTGGATGATCCATGTTCTTCATTAGTCTTTACCATACAATTTCTGATTTCTATGTTCATTGTGTCATATTTTCCTCTATGACTATTTCTTCCTCTGTCCCGTATTTCTTTCTCTTCTTCACAAAATGCATTACAACTGCTGCTAACAGCATCTTCATCTCCCTCTGAGGAATGGCTAAAACTCTTCTTCAGCCTGTGAATCAAGAGTTGCCTTTATATTTCTACCTGAGTGGTGAGAATGTAAGTGCAAACCATGGACAGGCATCTGGCCCTGCTGAGGGGAGACCTACCTAAAATGGAGCCATCACAGAGGAGAAATGGAGCAATAAGTATCATGTAAATCCCCAAGTCCAGATGGGCTTGTGGTTAGGCCTGTCTCTGCACTTACAGTTCTGTGACCAATTTCACTTTTCAGGAAGCCAATGTCACCTGGGTGTTCTGTCTTCCGCCATGTGTCCCCTATGTCCCCCACAAAAGACCAGTGCCATCTGTGGAAAAGCATCATTTGGTGGTCTGTCCATCAGGGAAAGATGCACGGGAAAGTTTAAGTGTAAAGAGGACCTGAAACCACTAAGTGGGCTTCCGTAACTATGAACGTTGGTGTCTCCAGACAAGTTGACAAGCCGGAGGAAGGTCACAGGCATGGTCCCCTCTACTAAACATGTCTGAAATCAGTCTCAGGCAAGATGCGCACAGGAAGCAAAATAAGTGCTACCGGCTGCGTGACTTTAGCCATATTTCTGGAGCTAAGTCTCACTTCCCTCATTTTAAAAGGGGGCTACCGTATGCTCTGCTTCTTGGTTTTCTAAGACAGTTACATTGAGCTATACACTTCAGTCCTTAGTTCAAGGCCTGGAACCGAGTAGGCCTCAAGAACTACTGTTTGTTATATTACTGTCACTAAGACGTCATTAATATTCATCTACACCACAAAGCCATTATGGTTCTCTCCCTTCTCCTCCTTGACCCAAATCCTGTGCCTTCTTCAAGCCCCACCTCCTCCTCCAGGAAAATCTTCCTGGATTACTTCAGTATATAATGCATGGATTATTTTCTTATCTGAATTTCCAAACCATTTATTTTGCACATGTGTCTGATGGCGCACCATACTATGTCATAAACTGAATTCCCAGTACTGGGCTAAAGCCCGTTCATTTCAGCTTGTGAGAACCAAGTGTTAAATTTTCAGGGATTCTGAGAGGGGGTTGTTAAACACAGCCATTTTTAAAAATTCAATTTCATAAAAGTATAATTAAGTAAGTTTTATTAAAAACAAAGGTACTACACTCAAAGCACAACACTTCCCAACTGGTTATATCACATTTTACCATCATCTGTGTTCCTGAGGTTACTTAGGTCTGTGATGTATGTGGGGAGGAAGTACTATAAAATGGAGGATTACCACACATCTCCTTCCAACTCCGCACGCAGTGACATCGTGTGGGTAGCATGCAATCAGTCACGGTGGGAGAATTTACACCACAGGAATCAGCAAACGCCAATCAGAGCTCTCTCTCCACTCCCAGCCCACTGAGACAACTGTTCAACATTTACTGGCATACCACTGGTTTCAACTTTCTCATATTTGTCAAGTGCTCTGAGTTCATTAGCTCTTTGACAACAGGAATGTTTCACATTTCTCTTTGTTCTCTGTGTTGCTCAACATAGCCTTCTAGACACAGTAGGCGTTAAACATTTTGCCACTTATTAGAAGCCTAGAAAGAGGCAATCACTGCACAAAGACTACTATGGCTACATCTATGTGACCTAATGTGTTTAAAAATACACCTTACACAAAAACCTTGTAGTTCTACCACTGCTTGAGTTATAAACAATGAGGAAAAGGCCAAACATGAAAGCAGAGTAAAAATATTATAATGGGACAAAGTAAATGTGCACTGACACACTCCTACCCCGTAACAAAGAGTGAGATCGCTCAAACTCATGTCATAGGGAATGGTCAAAAAAAATCAGTAATGCTCCTCTTAGAGAGCGGAGAAATTGTAGGTGCACAGAGGGTAATAAAAATGTCTTCAAACAGCTGAAAGGTTATCACAAAAGAAAAAGATTGGATATTTTCTGTATTGCACTAGACAATAATACCAGAATCAATGTTTAGATGTTATAGAGACACATTTTGATATGATGAGGAAGAACTGTCCTACAGAGACAACTCAAGACGGATGGAAGGAGAAGGGATGAATTCCCGCTCCAGGGATACCTGAACGCGTGGACTGATCACAGGGCTTGGCACATAGTATTAACTCACGAATGAATAAGTTAATGGGCCAGCAGTGGTTCTCAACTGGAGGCCACTACTGTTCCCTAGGGAGTAACTGGAAATTCACTGAGTCACTTAGTGAAGGGGCAGGAGAGCAAGGCAAGAGATGTCCCCACACAACAAAGAATTCTATTGCCCAAAATGAAAACTGTGCTCCCACTGAGACCTAGCATCTTGGGCAAATCCTGGAGGGGATGTTTTAAAGAATCATGCAGCAAGTGCTCGTCGGGCAACTAAGTTTCAAGCACCCTACTGATCTTTAGGCCTAGCTGCACAAACTGAAGCTTCTTCTTACAAGAGGCTCAAGACTAATGGAGGGAGATGAGGAAGTAAATGCCCAGTTTCAAGAGTGATACATGGCTAATCTAAAAATGTGACTGGGTACTGAAGGAGCAGAGGGTTCTTCTCACTCTTGTAGGACAGGGTCATTTAAAGGGTGGGGAAGGCCTCTGAGAAGTACTGGTGCCTTCAAGTTGGGTTTTCTAGAATGTGCACAGGAGCCCACAACTTGGAAGAAGGAATTCCAGGTGGAGAAAATAGTATGTATATAGGAACAGCAATGTGAGAGAACAAGGCACTAGAAGTCTGGTGCCATTAAAAAGATTTTGTTTTTTGCAACAGTTACATTTGGGCACCTGCTTTGTTTTTTAAACATTTCCCTCAGATGGCACTGCAAGAACCTAAGCATGGCTTGCGTGAAGGTTGAGTACCAGAACTGTTGAGAAAAAAGACTGGGTGCTTTGGGAAATGTCCCTTCCAACCCTGAGAATCTTTGAAACTTTCCTGATGTAAGAGAGGAGAGCTATTATTACCAAGATACCCTCTGATGAGCAGAGCCCTAGACCCTCACCTTACTGTACTCTCCTCTTTCCCCCCATTCCCTCCGCTCCAGCAACATGGGCCTTCTGTCTGTTGCTTTATCACAAGGCTAAGCCGCTCCCCACCTCAGGATATTTGCACAGGCTCTTCCCTCTACTTGGCACACTCCTTCTCAGATACATAGTGGGTTCCTTCTCATCCTTGAGATCTCAACTCAGCATCACCTCCTCAAAGAGGCTTTCCCCGTCCCGCCTTATCGGGAAAGGTCTCATTCCTTTAACTGACTATAGTCTGTCCCCACCACTAGAATTTCAGTTCGAGTGCAGTATCTCCTCTATCTCACTACCCATGTACCACACTGCTAGTATCCAGCAGGTTATTTATGTGCACCTGGGCTCCCATCCTCTAAGAGATAATATAACAGTCAAGAGAAGATAGAGGAGAGCACCTGGGATAGCTGCACTGACAGAAAGACGGCTGGCATGTGTACTTCCGGTACTCCGGGGATGGGACTAGAACTAGGAAACCGTGTCTCTAGAGAGAAAATTATAGGGCCTGAGATACTCAGCTTGGTGAAAAATCCTCTCAAAAGGTGCATATTCTTTTCAAATATCAGGAGAGCATGCCATGGAAAGGGGACCAGAATAACTGAATCAATCCCCACGGGGAAAGACTA